GAGTTCACACGTGTCTCTAACAACATCAGAGGGGATGGGGAGGCAAAAATCCCATCTGCATTCAAGGAGATTTGTGTTACCCTTCTCAATTCACTCTGTGACATCACAAAACTAATTTGGACTTCAGCTTTTGTCTATTTTAAAAAGGAATTTTTTTTTGTCCTGAGATGAAAAATGCTCTGTGTTTAGACCAATATTCAATCGCTCATAAGACTTTAAGAAATAGAGTTCATGGTAAAAACACTGAAAACCCACTCCTTCAGCAATTTTGAAATATGTAATATGTTATTAACTATAGTCGCCATGCTGTGCAATAGATCACTAGAAGTTTTTCCTCCTGTCTAACTGAAACTTTGTGCCCTTTGACTAACATCTTCCCTTTTCCCCTGTCCACTGCACGACCCCAACCACGACCCTACTCTCTGCTTCTACAAGTAAGTAAGGTAATGGACAGGACATGTTGAACCAGCATTCCACAATGTATACATAAATCATAACATCACATTGTAACCCATAAATATATACAATTTGTATTTGTCAATTTAAAAAAAGATCAGCTGCTGAACTTTAAAAGCAATATTTCAGCATAAAAAAAATTAATGATGGTGAGTTAAGTGGCAACTGTTTTTCCTCTTTCCTCTTTTTGTTTGTGTGGGCCAATCCATTCTCTTCCTGTCTAAAAGAAGAAAAGTAGGCTGTTTTGTTTCACAAAGTACTACAAGATCTCAGTCTTGCTTTGCTAATCTGTTTGTGTCACTCTCGGTGACTGATACAGGTATCTCTTAAACAAGCACTTGGATTCTTCTGAACTTAATTAAAAGAGCAGCTTTGATTACAGGGCACAAAAGGAAATAGAATTCATATTCCCAAAATAAAATGTTTTATGATTTTTTTAAATGTAAAGGATTTATTAAGGTTTATTAGGGAGTTCTTGAAAAAAAAAAAAGGAAAGAGGCAAATTCTGTTAAAGGAGCTAATGGGAAATGTATATGCATAAACCACATTTAGAAAAACAGAAAGCTACTTGTGCTCTGTAGCTTCAATGAAAGCAAACATTTTGAATCCAGGTGTTATTAGCAACTCTGGGTTCGCTAGGCCTCTCTATAGCTCAGTTCAGGACAGTATGTACCAATAACTGAACCCTGCTTGGCTATACAAATGCGTCTACGCTCACTGCTCCTGGAATGTTGCAAGAGGTGGGGAGGATAATTTGCAACCAAATCAAAATAGGGCTATGGTAATACAAGCCCTGGGACCTGCTTTCTTTCTCAGCCCCAGGCCTCAGCAAGAAGCTAGACAGTAGTCCCAAGGTGAACACTCCATTCTTTGCATTTATTTCTTCCCCAGTCCTCAGCTCCACCTCAGCTCTGAAGATTTCAGCAATAGAAACTCTTAAATAGAATTCTGCCCACAGTGCCTGGGACACTGTGCATGGCCCCGACTATAGCTAAAAATACCTTCAGTCCTCTCTTCTGGTATCTTCTTCCCATCTTTAGCCCCTCAGCCTTCTTTTCCCTCTGCCCCCATTAACCAGAGCCTACCTTCTCCCTCCCTCCCTTGTCCAGGATCCCATTCTGCCAGCACATCTCAGCGAGTTGTTAGAAAAGCCAGCTGATTTGATGAATTTACACTGTGTTGTGAGTGACTTATAACCATCCCCCAACACACACCGCTCTACCCTTCCCTGGGAATTGCAGGCAGCAGGGGAAGGGAGGCTGCTTGTTTTGATGACCTGTACTTAGCAAAAGGGAACAAGTCTCAAAGTGTGCATCCAGCGAGGCATTAGCAAGCTCATTAGTGAGTACATTCTGCTGTCCTCCTAATCTCCCAACTCCTCCCCCTTGAGGACCTCAGAGACACATAGCCTTGAACGTGAGTTCCACTGACTTCCTCTTCAAGCTTTATCTGAGCTCAAACGTATGTTGTCACACACATAGGCATCTTCATTTATTGTTCCCATACATAGCCATCTGTTCTTGGCTTTAAGAAAATCAGAGGAAACAGATTCTGTGCTGTCCAAGTCTGCAGATTTGTACTAAATGAACCCCCAAACTCAATGATGCTACCCCTTCCTTTGAGATGAATTCAGTGTAATGTTATTCAAGAAGTGGATGGGTGAGTGTTGCTGTGCGTGAGATAGTCTGAAATGATTGCTTGGGGGACAACAGTCTTATTTCTCAGAAAATCTACACTTTTTATAAGTCTATTTGAATTATCCATGAGAGAGAGAAGGAAGAGGGAGGAGTATAGAAAAGATGCTTGAGGGAGAGAGAGGAAATGGTTGGCTTAACTCTCTGGACAAGAACAGCTTTAAACTTGGGTCTCAATTTTAAGGTTTGAACAACAAAAGTGGAATGAAGGATTGTTTCCTTGGCCTATCCCAGGAACTACTTAAAGAGGAGGTTTTCATTCAGGGCAAGGAGGCCCAGGCTGTGAGATGATGTTAAGGAAAGAAAGAAGGAGAGAGAAGAAGGAAAACGGGAAGAAGAGAGAGAAAGCCACTCCTAAAGCACGCTTAGGAAAAGGTGGTCTTCCTAAGACCAAGACAATAGTGCAATAGTGATGGGGTGGTTATCTCAGCAAATATCATGCATCATTCTGGAACCAGTGGTTTGTTTACCTAACTGTTGAGCCATCCAGGACCAGCTCGCGTCAGAATTTACTTGTTTGGGTTGTTTTTTTTCTTTTTATTTTGTTTGTTTGGGGTTTTAAGGGGATAAAGGTTTTTTTCTTTGTTTGTTGCTGCTGCTTTTATTTTTGCTTTGTGAAAAACAAAAATAGTGGTTTTAGGAGAGACATTTCAGAATGAAGAAAAAGGAAGAAAGAAGCCCTCCAGACCCCATAGGCTTCTCTTTTAACCCGAACACCCCTAAGAGAATGAGGAATCATTAACCACTTCGGTAGGAGCGTCAACTGTAGGGGACAGCCACAGATGAACTCGCACAGCGACTTTAGCCGACAGCCGTGATATGACTTTTCTAATTTTTCATTTATCAAAATAAAATTGTGAACATTTAAAAATAACATAATGAAAACGTATATGCATATGTTACCTATTCTGATTTACATTACAAGTAAAGCTGCCTGTAAAGTAAAACAAGCTTTCAGTGCTTTCAAGCTTTCCTCATCACACAGGAGCAAAACAGATCCGACGTCAATGCACAGCACAAACTACCGTGTGGACTATGAGTGCCGGCTGTGGGCAAGGCTTCGTGGCCAGTGAGCGCGGTACCGAAGTGGTTAATGAGAAAGTGAGAGACAGGAAGACCTATCTGTGCCAATTAGAAACAAAACATTTCATCCAGGCCAGCGCACTTTTCTAGTGGGATTCTATGCCATGGTTTCCATTAAAGTATGCAGCAAATTCATCAATATCAAAGGAAGAGAAAGCACTGCATTTTTTTTGCAACTGGGGAAAAGGTGAGGAAAGAAATATCTTCGAATGGCTTTTGGCCTAGTGCTATACACAAAGTAGACATTCAAAAAATATTAGTCAAAGAATGAATGAATTTATGCAGGCATTACTTATCTCAGCAGGAAACAAAAGTGAATCCCAACTCTCACACATGTACATTTCTTCCAAATTTTAGGCACTTTATTATTTGATTTATGTCATTTTTCACTTTTAAAACAAAGCTGAGTTGGACATTTGATGATGTTGCTCTTCTTTCTTCATTTGTCACCTCCTTCTGACAGCATGTTCTAGATACTTATTCTTAGCATTGCTTTTTCCTCTTCACTGCTCTGCCCACCATTCTTTAGGAGGTAATAGGACTAGGAAGTGGCCACAGAGCTTCCTATTGAAAAGGAAAAGCAATAAAAAGCTTATGAAAATAGAAAGAGAATATAAAGCAAAGATTTTAGGAGATATCTTGTTAATCAATGTGTAAAGTGCAAACCTAATACTCCCTTTCATTGTACAGGACTTTTAAGTAGTTTTCATGTATAATATGCATTGAAAAATGTAAAATTAAAAACCAGCATGTTTTTATGTTTCTGTAACTTAAGTATTTTACAAGATATCTTGATAAATATATCAGGAAATCTATTGGTCATAATGACTTGCAGTGCTACTACTGGAGTATTACAATGATCAAATGAAGCATTCATTTGATCGTTGTAAGCAAGCAACTTGGCAAAATCTCAAGATTTGGTTGTTAGGAGCAAATCACAATTCCTTGTTACATTTTTATTTAATTAAATTTGTTGCTTACAAAGAAAAAAGGTAATAGGGAGAGATTCGACAATATGATCTATGTGAGGACACTGGAGCCCTTAAAGAAGGAAGTGTTGCCATTAAACTGTATCTTCTGTCTCTTTATTATATATTTGACACAAAAACTGTTATGTTTTGGTTTTGCCATGGAGTTACACACAAATGGGTGCCACTCCTGATCAGTATTGGCTGTCATTCTATATATGAGGGATATGTGTTTTATACCAGAACAGCATGATAAGGTTGCTTAAAGTAGTCCTTGTAGTCATCCCTAAACACATGAGTTCCAACAATGGTATTATAATTCAGTTCTTTCTCACACAAATGTTTTGTTTTCTTAATGCTTTAGGAACAGCCTTTTGCTTAAAAAAAAAAAAGATCATGTTTGGCTGGGCGCCATGGTTCACGCCTGTAATCCTAGCACTCTGGGAGGCCGAGGTGGGAGGATTGCTTGAGCTCAGGAGTTCGAGAACAGCCTGAGCAAGAGCGAGACCCCGTCTCTATAAAAAATAGAAAGAAATTGGCTGGACAACTAAAAATATACAGAAAAAATTAGCCAGACATAGTGGCGCATGCCTGTAGTCCCAGCCACTTGGGAGGCTGAGGCAGAAGGATTGCTTGAGCCCAGGAGTTTGAGGTTGCTGTGAGCTAGGCTGACGCCACGGCACTCACTCTAGCCTGGGCAACAGAGTGAGACTCTGTCTCAAAAAAAAAAAAAAAGATCATGTTTGAACTTTTGATACAAAATAAGATGACTTGCCTCTTGTGTTTTTGTGTGCTCTAGAAATCCTCACTGGACGTCTTCCTGTTTCCTGTGGTTCGTTACCTGATTGGCTGCAGGGATGAAAGTTTTCGAGCTGATAGCAGGGATGGTCCTCCTCGCCTCTGTGTTTTCCGTCTGTTCTGGACAAAATCCAATGACTGTGCTGTGCTCCATAGACTGGTTCATGGTCTCAGTAGAGCCCCTCATGTTGAACAACGATGTATATGTACACTTTCATGAGTTGCACATGGGTCTGGGTTGCCCTGCCAACTATGTCCAGCCACATGTCTACCAGTTCACCTACCGTGTTACCGAGTGTGGCATCAGGGCTAAGGTTGTCTCCCAGGACGTGGTTATCTACAGCACTGAGATGCACTATGCCTCTAAAGGCACATCATCCAAGTATGTGATCCCAGTGTCATGCGTTGCCCCTCAAAAGTCCCCATGGCTCACCATGCCCTGCTCCTTGAGAGTAGCCAGCATGAGTGGGACCCCAGCCCAGAATGATGAGACATGCTACGAGGTGTTCAGCTTGTCACCACCCAGCCAAATGGCCAACTGCGATTGTCCGCCTTGTGTCTTTAATGAAAGAGCGTATCCCCAGGGTCCCCATCAACAAGCACAGGCACAGGGGGCACAGGGGGCACAGGGGGCCCGTTCTATGCAGCCATCTTACTTTGTTGATATTTCCGAGGACTGGTGTCTTCACTCAGATGATCTGATTGGTCCTATGTGATCCTCAGGTTTGGGGCTTCCTGAATATGCTATTTCTAGAGTTAGCAATATAGTATTTACAAATATCAGACAAATAAAATGCTCTTGTGGCCCTTTCATGAGTGCTTTTGAGAAAGGGCAACCCTTGGCAACTTCATGAATACATTTTTTTTTATATTTTTGTATCCTTTTCTAAAGAAAAAAATAAAATTCTGATGGCATAAAAATATCAGTTGGGCATTTTTATTTAATAAATACATATGTAGTTTTTACTGTGGGCCAGGCACTGTTCTAAATGGTTTGCAAAAATTAGTGCCTGGTCTCTTCTCTCTAGGATGATTCCTCTCCCCTTTAAGGTCCTCCAAGAAAGCCTTCCCCAATTAAATCTCTCCATCCGTATGCCCATTTCACTTAGTAATCAGCTACATAATTTCTTAATTTAATCTAAAACTGTATCACTTTTCATCCATGGAAAGCATAGGTTGCACTAGTGATTTATAAACCACCAATGGTTCTAAGAAGCATTCAAGTCACATCCCATCAGCTAGATGGTATGCTCCTGGGATCAAGAGCTCCATCTTATCCTTTAGTTATGGACTGATAGTACTTCCAAAGTTTTTTCCCTTAACATATATGATCAGAAAATTTTCACCAAAGTTTGGCTGCCCATTAGCTTTCTTAAAGGCTTGGAAGGGTGAAAGTAAGTGAATTGTTCAACAGATATTTATTGCAGAGTGCTACTAGATGCCAGGCACTGATCTAGGCACAGAGGATATGGCAGTGAATAGAAAGGGACTCAGAGAAATTGAGGTGACACAGCTAATGAACATATAAATAAGTAAACAAAGATAAATTCAGATAGCAACAGGCTGGGTGCAATGGTTCATGCCTGTAACCCAGCACTCCAGTAGACCAAGGCGGGAGGATTGATCGCTCAAGGTTAGGAGTTTGATACCAGCCTGAGCAAAAGCGAGATCTGTCTCTACAAAAAAATAGAAAAATTAGCCAGGGTGTGATGGCACATGCCTATAGTCCCATCTACTTGGGAGGCTGAGGCAGGAGGATCACTTGAGCCTAGGAGTTTGAGGTTACAGTGAGCTATGATGATGCCACTGCACTCTAGCCTGGGCAACAGAGCAAGACCCTATCTCAAAAAAGATTCAGGTAGCAACAAATGCTATGGAGAACTTAAAACAAAATGATATGAGAGAAACTGGAGAAGCGTAATTAGGGAAGGCCTCTCAGGACTTGTCATTTGAACTGAGTCTTGAATGCAAAGGAGCCAGTTCTATGATGATCTGAGGGAAAAAATTCCAGATAGTAGAAGCATCTCTTTTAATCCTCACTACATCCTATAAGAAAAATACTCTTCTTATACCTATTTTATAAGAAACTGAAGCACAGAATCATTAAGAAACTTGCCCAAGGCCACATACCTATTAAGAAGTAGACTATTTCAAAACATCATGTTGTACACCATAAATATATACAATTTTCATTTGTCATTTAAAAGAAATGAATTTATTTTTTTAAAATAAGCAATGTTAGCACAATGTTTGCACATTTAATAAAGGCAAAGTATACTTCAGTGAATGAGTAGATATTACAAATTCAGTCATGATAGTTAAAGAAACACAGCTGTTTATTTTAAAATTCCCCTCCCCTTTCTTGAGGAACACTTGGTAATAATCCCTGAAAACAGTGTATTCATGCAACAAATATTTACTGAGCTTGTCCTATGTGCCAGGCATTATGTTAGATGCTGGTGATGCAACAGGGAGCAAGACTGACATAGTCTAATCCATGTGAAGGGGACAAGTAAAGAAGCCTACAGAGCTAGAGCTATAAGAGCCTCCTCCAGCCCAGAGACTGGGCCTGTGCAAAGATGTGAGACCTGGGCTGAGGTCATCAGAGAAAGTGCAAGTGGTCTATCCCAATACAATGGAGGCAGGGGTAATGGTGGCGGTGATGGTGGTGAGCAGGTGAACAACAGGGCTGGAGCAGTAGGTCTTGAGACTATGTACAAGAGAGGTAGCATGTCCCTCTCCCATACTCTCTTCAGAAGCTGGCAGATTATTCAACACCAAAACACATATAAGCAGGCCGGGCATGGTGGCTCACGCCTGTAATCCTAGCACTCGGGCGGATTGCTCGAGGTCAGGAATTCGAAACCAGCCTGAGCAAGAGCGAGACCACGTCTCTACTATAAAGAGAAAGAAATTAATTGGCCAACTAATATATATAGAAAAAATTAGCCGGGCATGGTGGCGCATGCCTGTAGTCCCAGCTACTTGGCAGGCTGAGGCAGGAGGATCACTTGAGACCAGGAGTTTGAGGTTGCTGTGAGCTAGGCTGACGCCACGGCACTCACTCTAGCCTGGGCAACAAAGTGAGACTCTGTCTCAAAAAAACAAAAAAATACACACACATATAAGCAACTTAGAAAACAATCAATACTAGACATATTAGACCTGGGCTACTATGTGCAAGTTCATCATTTTACAACTGCAAGGGGCAGTATTCACAGAGACACCCCTGGAGTTTTGTAATGTATCAGCCTTGGAAGAGACTCAAGACCTCCATGGTAATAAAAGGAGTTATCCTGTGCCAGACACATCATATGCATGATCTCATTTAATCCTCACAATAGTTCTGCAAGGTGAAAATGATTTTCCGTGTTTTATAGATGAGGAAACTAAGGCTCAGAGAAATAGAGGTTGTACAGTTAGTAAATGACATCCCTGGGACTCAAACACAGGTTTGTCTACCTCTAAAATCCAATTTCCCCTCTATACTCAACACTTGCTCTCAGAGAAGAGAGTCTTCCATGTGGATTGGAAGATCCAGGAAGGTTTCTTGGTAGAGTGAATGACCTCACTCTTAGAAGACAAGGAGGACTTGGCTAAGCAAAGAAGAGGAAGAAGAGCATTCTTTGTGTGAGTAAGTCCTGGGACAGGGCAGACAAGTTCACTGTGTTGAAGGGAGTCCACTTACACAGTTACTTCTCTAACCTAAGTGAGAAGAGATGAGGAGAGCAGATGGGGAAAGGAGTTGAAGGTTAGGAAGAGAAAATGAGAACCCTTTTAACTGAAGAACAACAGGACTTTATTCATTTTAGCCTACAGGAAACAGTTAAATGTCTATGTAAGCCCCATTAAATTGAGTTTTGCAGGCAAAACTGGAGCATGGAAAGCTTCAGGCCCTAGAGCAGAGAACGCAAGCTTCATAAAGGACGTAACTTAAGCTAAACTCTGATCTGACTGGATGTGTGGGAAAAAAAAGAAGGGACTGACTCAAGAAGATACCATCATGTACAGCCCTAGAAGCTCAGAAGACATGGTAAGCTCTGGATTTGAGTAATGAAATTGGGATGTGGATAGAGAATACAGGAGAAGATGAGTCTAGATTGGACATGTTGAGTTTGAGATGGTAGTGATATATAAGTGGCTATGTCCAGGAATCAGCTTCAGAAATGGAGCTGGGGCTCAAGAAAGCGGTAATTATTTGGAGATAAAGCCATGGAGGGATCACATGAGCATAGGCAATTAGGACCACAGAATCAGAATCCTGGCCGGGCGTGGTGGCTCACGCCTGTAATCCCAGACTTGGGAGGAGAGGCGAGGAGGATCCCTCTAGTCAGGTCAATCCACCCTGAGTGAACCATTCTACTAAACTTAGAGAAATTAATGGGCAACAACTAATATTATCATTATATGAAAAACTGAGACGGGCTTTGGGGCATTGCCTGTAAGTCCCAGCTTCTTTGGAGGTGAGCAGGAGGATTGCTGTCGGAGTTTGAGGTTGGCTGGAGCTACTAGGGCTGATGTCACGGCACTCATCTGTGGGCAACAAAGTGGACTCTGTCTCAAAAAATAAAATAAAATAAAAATAAAGAATCAGAATCCTCTAACAATCAATTCTCAAGGCATCATTAAGAAAAGGACAGGAGAAGAAGTCATCCAAGAGATGAGAGAAGTGAATCGTCAGAGAGAAAGGGAAGTATGACCCTGAAATTTAGGGGGTCAGGGCCTGGGTGGGATGAGTGACCGGCACGGTAGCAAGAAGGAGTCACTGGGTCCGACAGAGTGGGAGCTTTGAATGGATTAGTGAGAGAGATTTCATACAGGTGAAGATGGGAGGGAAGAGCATTCTAGGCAAAGGGAACAGCAAGAACAAAGGCACATTTATGTCAGAACCATATTTTTGCATGGTTATTGTCTTAGATATAGGCATAATTTTTTCAAAATTCAATAGTAATCCGCACTTGTTGGCTTGAACATATCATAATCGGGAAAGTGCATTCCAATTTCAGGTGATATTTGCCTTCTCAATGTTATATACTTCTTAAGCCTGGGGGAGCCTGTCTCCTATTTGTTTGTTTTGCTTTTCTCTTACAATTACTGGGAAAGAAACACAGTAGGTACTCAGATCCAGTATACCTGGTATGAAAGTGCGCTGAGAAGTCCCTAAAGGTGAAGGAACATCTAAGTGGGGATGAAAATACGAGGAAAAACTGCATTTTGAATTGACTATTTTGTCTTTTGAAATATCACTCAGGTGGGGCGGGGTGGGCTCCGCCTGTCATATTAGCTATCTGGGACCGAGCGGCGGATGCTCGAGGTCAGGACGTCGGAAACAAGCCTGAGCAGAGCGAGACCTGTCTCTAACTTAAATGAAAGAAATTAATTAGGCCAATAATATTATACAAAAAATTAGCGGGGCATCATCCTGGTGGGTATGCCTGTCGTCCAGCTTATCGGGAGTAGGCAGGGAGGATTGCTTGATGCCAATAAGTTTGAGGTTGCGTGTGAAGCTAGGCTTGATGCACGGCATCAGCTCTGCTCTGGGAACCAACGGAATTGTCTCAAAAAAAAATAAAAAAAAATTCACTCCGAAGAATTTTCCTCCTTTATTATGGTAATGTTTATTTAATTTTAAGTGACTGATTTAAATCTACACCATGTTATTGATGTTGTGATACTACAAGAATTGCTTTGTTGCATTAGAGAATGAGCATTTTCACCTTTCATCTTGGGAAACCAAAAATGGTCTGAAGACATTTGTTAATTGAGTTAATTGGCTTGTGCAATATTTCATTTAGTGCCATAATGAGATTTTCACCATAAAGGAGATCAGGATAATGTAAATTTTAATTTGTAAGCCTGAATTAGCAAACCAGTTCTTTTTGATGTAAGGTTAAGTATATGTTAAGGC